AACTGTGTACTTTAACACGACACTCATGTACTTCCAGTGAATTATAATTAAAACAAAACAACATTAACCACCTAGTTAGTAGTCCTGGACGCGTCCCTGTCCCAGGCGACGTTTCCGGATCTCGGTCCTCAGCCAGGAGGGAACGTCGCGAATGGGATGGGCATTGGGGTAGCGGAGTGGCTGTTCGGGTCCCTCGAACGGATGCGTTTGCGCGAGCTTGCGTTCCAGGTACTCCTTGTTGAGCACCTTCTGGTCGCGATGCTTGTCCATGTAAAGATTGAAGGGCTGCTTCAGGGGGAAGAACTTCTGGTCTGACAAGTAAGCCTTGGGGAAGTCGTACTCGTAGACGGGCTCCTTGAGCTCTGCAAGAAGGCAACTTTTAAAACAATGAAGCTAATTTAGTGACGAAGTCAACCCACTTAAGATATTGTGGTAGAACTGCGTCAGGGACTCATCCCAGTTGGTTTGGTAGAAGGCCAATCCCGCCGGCGTCAGCTGGTCTTGATTCTGGCGATAGAAGTCCAACGTGCTGAAGCTGCGCTTCTCGAGATTGGCATAGTCCTGCTCCGCCAGCTGATAGGAGCTGAGATCCAAGCGGGACTCCTGCTTATAGAGTACAAATACCATGCGCTGGTAGCCCACACCCCGTGGCGGAAAGGGTGGCAAGTACTCGGCCAGCACCTGACCCTCCTTAACCTGGCCATTGGGTATGTTGGCACTAAAAACAGAAGGAGATTAGGTAAAGGTAATCTTTTGAGGAAAACCACTCACATAAACCAATGCAGGCACTCAGCTGCCTTTTGGCTGTAGTGTGCATCCGGATTAGTGGCCACCAGAGTCCAGTAAGTATCTCCACTCGCAGCCTTTCCTGTGATAGGATCCACCTTGCCATCGAAGCTTACCTCAGGAGCCTTGACCGCCTCCGCCGGCTTGATAACATTGCCATTATAGACGGGAGAAAGTAGTCCCTCGCCCAATTGGTAGTTTATGCTAATCGGGACACGAGGCACAAAGTAGGCACTGCCAAAAAGATGTTCAAAGACGCCGTAGTGATCCGCCAGCAGCCGGAGATCGTGTTGGCCCGTGGTCTTTACATAAATCTGTTGCACCTTCTCCAGGTCAATGAGAACTGTGGCGGGGAAAGATTGGAAGATAATTTTGGAACAGAACAGGAATTAAATACCAATGACTCTTACGCTTATTGTTCCTGGCCAGCTGTTCCAGCTGCTTGTTAGCTCGCTGGGCTTTCAGGTGTTCCAGGCGCGTCTTCAGTTGAGCCGATCGCGACTCCTTCAGCTGCGGGAAACCAATATTAATTCTGGCCGACACCTCGGCATCCGCAACAGTCTCTTCTGAAAACGAAACCAAGTCGGTTACATCAATCTTCAACCTGCCCACCTGCCATGTACCCACCTCGTAGTCGCTGCTCCAGAGTACGGGCCACCCCTGGTGGCTTGCCGCGCAGCACGTGACCTTGTCGGGTGACGGTCAGCAGGACACCCTGGTTAGCGGTGCTTTTCATTAATAAATTGCTGAACGACATCGCTATTTCTCGTGTTTTGTAATTCCCAGGCGGCGATTCTTCCTAGCGGTGGAACGATTGCACCGATATTTTCTATTATGCCTTGTACAAAGTTATCGATAGTTCTATGAAAGTTTCGGTACAAATTTAAACTTAAATAATTTGTTTTTATTGCATATCGGGGATATTTCGACTTAAAATGATAGGACTCGAAGCGCTGAGATTAGAAAGGCTTAATATTTACCAATCAAAATATTTTTTGGCGAGTTATAAAAGATAAATCCTTAAAAGACGGCACTTTTTGCAAATTTGGAAAGCTTTTCAAAACCAAAAAATTTGAAATTGAAACATTTTTCAATCGCATTTTAAATTGTGTATTGGTAAATTTGAAACTGACTGTGAAAAAAAGATATCGTGGATGATATCGTTAATATTGTAGAATCTACACAGGAACCTCCTAACATCTAACATTTAAAAAAGTTGAAAATCATATGGTTTTTGGCTGATTTTTGCAATTTTTTGTGAGTTTTTCACTTTGAACAATTTTAAAAATTGACGTCGATTTTAGTCAACTAAATGTTGATTGGAAATAATAGTACTCAAATAACGGAAAAATTGAATATTAACAATATACGGAATATAGCAATATATGGCATTTAAAAATCCCGCGATTAAACTCCGAGTTGTAGGCTTGAAACCCCCACTTCATTGATGTTTAGTTTAAGCTTGGTTTTTTTAATTCGGATTCCTAGTTCCCATTCACCTTACTTAAATCGAGCAAGTTTAAGGTAATTTATACCATCTGAAGTCTTTATTTAATCCCCAGGAAAACAAATCGCTAAACAAATTTTATGTTAACTTAAACATACATTTTTAACAACAATATTAACAACAACAAATGCACTTTAACTAGGATTACATCGCAGTTAACAAAGGAAAACGTTCTAGAACAAACGAAATGTGACTACAAACGAAAGAAGCATCAGTACCTCCAGCAGTAGATTGGTTCCCGCCCCACTCTCCACATAGATGCATTGGTCATCCTGCAACCTGTGGTTCTCGCTGCACTGGCATTCGCCCCACTGGCACGTCATAGCGCTTGGAGCCGGAGTATCGTTCTTTGTACTGGACTGCATCCGACAATCGGCGTCGTTGCGGCAATAGGCCCCGTAAGGAATAATCGCATCACAAATGAGAGCTTCGTGTGCCTGAGGCTCTTCCTCCTCGTCCGTGTGTCTGGAAATGTGGTTCATCGTTCTGGGATAGTGAGTCGCTCGGCAGGAGCATCGGTGGTCCAGGCACTGACCACCGGCACCCAGTTTCACCTGACATGGAGGACTGTGCTCGCACTTCTCGCCAAAAGCTATTCCGGATATGCACATGGTCAGGTTCCGGTTGTGGACGAAGCTCTCCGAGCAGCCGCATTTCTTAATCTTGGGCAGACAAATCGAGGCGCCACAACTGCCGCAATCCATGTCCTCACGACAAGAGGACTCTGGAAATTGAAAAAAGGATTAATAGACGCATAAGCAGGAGAAGCATAAGCATCTGTAGTCACTTACGCAGCACGGCCAGGCAGAGACCCTGATGCTCTTCAAAGTTCGCGCGGCACAAGCATTTGTTTTCTGGCGGATGGCAGAGACTGAACCTATCCGCCAGCTGACATTGTCGGGAAAACTCGCATTTCCCTGCCAGAGGCACTACTTCCGGAAGGCAACGTCTTCGATCCTCGCTTGGCACATAGCCCTGCGAACAGATGCACTGATCTCTGCGAGAATCGCACTCCGCATGGCGCTGAGAACAGGGACACGGACCTCCGATTATGTTCGTCAGTTTCTGCTCGAGAGGAGAGCAGGGCACGCGTTCGCCGGATCCACGTGCCAAGCAGTAGCAGTTGTTATCCAGGCATCTGCCCCGATCGAACTGGACACACTGTTGGTCCGAGGTGCATGCCAGTTCCAGGAGATCCTCCGATTTTCCAAAGAGCGCCTGCAGCACCAGTAAATAGAAAACCACGAGGAGGGCCTGCATTTCGTTTACTGCACTTCTATGCAATGCCTTATCTGAGTTCTGATTTGAAAGCTCTGTAGCGTAATTCGAGCTTTAACTGAATAAAAAAACACCAAATAGAACCATAAAGTTGTGCAGGTTCAACTAGCAGGTCAATATGGGATAATACTTATTTATTCAATGTATTGTTATTATCGTTATGAGGGTATATTTAAAGCTGTATTTAAAAAGCGAAAATGGCTAGGTTTATACTCCATTCAATTTAACGGCTTATCGTAATTACGATAATTGCTTCTTAATAATGCCGTTATTTAACCGTTTCAGCGTAATTTTCATACGATCACGTCTTTAATTATCATATTTTGGTGTACTAATGGAACGGAAAATAACTTACGGAAATAACGATAGTATTATGCTTTTAATTTTAACGTTATAGTGTTGTAATTGCAACAATTTTAAATTAATTAATCCCTTTTGATTATGACGTTAATATCGTAAATGGTTACGATATTATCGACATTATTGTCTTACCGCTTAAGAGAAACTACGACAGTAAAATTATCATTATGCTCTTCATTTCACTGTAATATCGTAATTAAAATAATGACTTTTTAATTATGACGTTAATTTTGCGGTATCAGGATAATCTCTATATTATAATTACCTATAATTTATTCCTTTTATCGTAAGTAGTATAGATTCTTCTTAATTAAGTGAGATAAATCATTATTAAGCATTAACGATCTTCTTATTTTCATAAATTTATACCTATATATGTAATATTAGGGGGTCTTCTAGTCTAGAACAACAAATTTCAAGGAGTTTTTAAAAACTTTTTTTTTTATTTAAAATAATTTTTTTTTTGTACTTGAAATTTTTTTTTAAATATTTAAAATTAAAAAATTATAGGTAGTGTTAGATATTGTTAGATATCTAAAGTTAAAACTTTAGATATGATATATGTACATGTATATGATATATATGTGACATATGTATATGTATATGATATATGAGGAAACCGGTATATGTACTTCCAAGAAACTAAAATGGCCCTAACATCGAAAAGAATTAAGTTTTTAAAAAGCCATCTAGGAAGATATTCTGAAACATCTTATAAATAAAAAATTTTATAAAAAAAGAGTCTCGATTTTCTAAAAATAAAAAAATTTTTCATTAGAAGACCCCTTAAGCGCAACATGCGGCTAAGAACGTGGTTTATGTTCTTGTTGCTAATCACGTCTCTCTAATCACGTATAACCTTTGACATCCCATCCGTACACTGAGCCTGTGGAATATTTTGGCTTTTCTATATGTGTGGGTATTTCCAAATTCCTTATCAGAACCTCTGTCAAGGCCGAGGATGGCTTTAAAAAGCCGGAGCTTCAAGACTCGCAGCATCAGTTGAAATATTTCTAGTGATTCTTTTAGAAGCAAGTTTCGTTCGATCGCAAAAGTTTGATTTTCCAAGATGATTATCCCAGTGGTCCTTATTTCTGCCTTTTTCCTAATTTCCACCTCCGTGGGATCTGAAGAAGTAATTGACATTTTGAAATATTTTTGTTTTGAAAACTAAATAGAATTAAAAATCCACAGTCCTGCTATCTGTCGGAGGAGCAGGAGGACCAGTGTGCTTCCGTGTGCTACCCTATCGTGAAGCCACTACTTCGATATTTTGAGAAAAGTAACGAGAAAGATGTGCAGCTCCTACAGTGCAAGACAGACTACTCGGAACTTCAGAAACGATATTCCGAGTTGGGACTGGAAAAATATGACCAGATATCAAAATGCCAACAGGACTATTCGGACTTGGTTAGAAGGCATTTCGAGTTGCAGGACGAGGGTCAAAAAAAAAATTCTGAGATATTAAAGTTCAAAACGGATCATTCGGACTTGGAGAGAAGGCACTCAGAAGTGCAAGATAAATATACGGAAGTGCTGAGTAAACTTAACGACATTGAAGTTAAATATGAGAGGTTACTTGCCAAGCAGCAGGAAAGTGAAAATCTTAACGCCCTAATAAATAAAAAAAATAAAGAAATCAAGCTACTTAAAGAGCAAAATAGGGACCTAAAGAAAACAAATGAACTTGCAACGTTGACAAATCAGTTCCGCGAAAACATCGATAGGTTGGGAGAAATAGTAAAGAATGGAGCAAATATTTTAACAGAGTCGACTAATAAAACAAAAGTAAATACTGGAGGGGTCCCTACAACTCCACTGCCTAGTATTAGTAATCCGATTACACCGAAAACAGAAATCATAGGTAAGTTAGCAGAATCCAGTCATTTGAAAAATAAAACATCGACTTTTTTCAGATCTTCCAGATCCTTGTCCACGAAACCAAACGGAATACAAAGTCCTTCGCGAAATCCAACTTCCAGGCTCAGACCCGTTTAGAGTGTTTTGTGTTTCATTCGATGATTATGGATCAGGATGGTTGAGGGTTTATAATAAACCTTATTCTCTAGAAACATTGAATCGCACGTATAAGGATTATGAACGTGGATTTGGAAGTGTTTTAGCTGACTGGTTCTTCATTGGACTCGAACGATTGCACCTTTTATTGAATGCAAACCCTCATGATGTGCTTTTAAGCACCTATGAGGGGACGCGTATATGCGAAAACTTTGTTGTAGGCGATCGGAGCGAAGGTTACAAGGTGAAAAATGTTGGCAATTGTACTATATTGTATGACCCGCGGTTGAGCCTTAAGCAGGGCTCCAAATTTTCCACCTTCGATCGAGATGAGGATGGAATCCCCGATCGTAACTTGGCGAAGGATTTGGGTTTTGGCTGGTGGTTCGATCCTACTATGAGTAACATTAGGTGTGTATACCAGTTTTGTTTTTTCTTTCATTTAATCCCTAACTGAAAATTTCACAAATAATTTAATTAAAATAATTTTTTTAATTTAATTTTTTTATTGCTGGATATATTAGCTTCCAACATGATTTCATGTATATGCACATCCGAAGAACAGATTGAAGAAAACAAAACGCCATTTAAAACGGACTTTGGAAAGATAAACATTTTAAGAAAATATATAGATAAAAAATATGCACTAAAATGTAAATATTTTATTTTAAACTTAACTTAACTAATAATTTTGAAAAAAACTTCCAAATAAAATGTGTAAAAATTAATCGAAAATAATAGTTTTCACTGGGAAATGCTTGAGAAGGTCGGAAGCCAAAATGTTGAATTTCAGACATTTTAGGATCAGTCGCAAAGGATCCCTGTGGAAAATGAACAATCGACTCTGGATTGTCGTGAAAATGCCAAACAAACTTAGAAGCTGGAGAATTGCTTTTCTTTTCTTAAAAAATATAAAGCAGAGTCTCAGCCTCAACCAATACATATATCAGTTATATGGCTTTATTTTCTATAAACATCCGAGCCGAAGTTGATATAACCTTGCAGTTAAAACAGAATATATATCGCAGACATCGGATGTAGTTGGACGATCCTTATAAGAATATCATAATAAAACCAATTAATTACAATAAAATATCTAATAAATAAAGCCCAAACTTCTATCTTCAAGAACACCAAAGTTGGTATTTCTACCAAAAACCATTTCCTTTCGTTCAGATATATGGCAGCTATAGGATAAAGTCGGCCGATCCTGTTGAAATTTGGCACGTCGTATTGTTTTGTCGTATAGTAGCCATTCATACAAAATTTGAACTCTCTAACTCTAAAAACACCAAGCATAATACTATCGTTATTTCCGTAAGTTATTTTCCGTTCCATTAGTACACCAAAATATGATAATTAAAGACGTGATCGTATGAAAATTACGCTGAAACGGCTAAATAACGGCATTATTAAGAAGCAATTATCGTAATTGCGATAAGCCGTTAAATTGAATGGAGTATAAACCTAGCCATTTTCGCTTTTTAAATACAGCTTTAAATATACCCTCATAACGATAATAACAATACATTGAATAAATAAGTATTATCACATATTGACCTGCTAGTTGAACCTGCACAACTTTATGGTTCCATTTTGTGTTTTTTTTATTCAGTTAAAGCTCGAATTACGCTACAGAGCTTTCAAATCAGAACTCAGATAAGGCATTGCATAGAAGTGCAGTACACGAAATGCAGGCCCTCCTCGTGGTTTTCTATTTACTGGTGCTGCAGGCGCTCTTTGGAAAATCGGAGGATCTCCTGGAACTGGCATGCACCTCGGACCAACAGTGTGTCCAGTTCGATCGGGGCAGATGCCTGGATAACAACTGCTACTGCTTGGCACGTGGATCCGGCGAACGCGTGCCCTGCTCTCCTCTCGAGCAGAAACTGACGAACATAATCGGAGGTCCGTGTCCCTGTTCTCAGCGCCATGCGGAGTGCGATTCTCGCAGAGATCAGTGCATCTGTTCGCAGGGCTATGTGCCAAGCGAGGATCGAAGACGTTGCCTTCCGGAAGTAGTGCCTCTGGCAGGGAAATGCGAGTTTTCCCGACAATGTCAGCTGGCGGATAGGTTCAGTCTCTGCCATCCGCCAGAAAACAAATGCTTGTGCCGCGCGAACTTTGAAGAGCATCAGGGTCTCTGCCTGGCCGTGCTGCGTAAGTGACTACAGATGCTTATGCTTCTCCTGCTTATGCGTCTATTAATCCTTTTTTCAATTTCCAGAGTCCTCTTGTCGTGAGGACATGGATTGCGGCAGTTGTGGCGCCTCGATTTGTCTGCCCAAGATTAAGAAATGCGGCTGCTCGGAGAGCTTCGTCCACAACCGGAACCTGACCATGTGCATATCCGGAATAGCTTTTGGCGAGAAGTGCGAGCACAGTCCTCCATGTCAGGTGAAACTGGGTGCCGGTGGTCAGTGCCTGGACCACCGATGCTCCTGCCGAGCGACTCACTATCCCAGAACGATGAACCACATTTCCAGACACACGGACGAGGAGGAAGAGCCTCAGACACACGAAGCTCTCATTTGTGATGCGATTATTCCATACGGAGCCTATTGCCGCAACGACGCCGATTGTCGGATGCAGTCCAGTACAAAGAACGATACTCCGGCTCCAAGCGCTATGACGTGCCAGTGGGGCGAATGCCAGTGCAGCGAGAACCACAGGTTGCAGGATGACCAATGCATCTATGTGGAGAGTGGGGCGGGAACCAATCTACTGCTGGAGGTACTGATGCTTCTTTCGGTTATAGTCACATTTCGTTTGTTCTAGAACGTTTTCCTTTGTTAACTGCGATGTAATCCTTGTTAAAATGCATTTGTTGTTGTTAATATTGTTGTTAAAAATGTATGTTTAAGTTTACATAAAAGTTTTTTTTAACGATTTGTTTTCCTGGGGATTAAATGGAGACATCTGTAGGTAACAAATACCTTCAACTCGGCCAATTTATGTAATGGGATGGATGGATGGGAACTACATAGTTATCCGATTCGTGTAAGCCAATATTCAAAAATGGAAAGGGGGCTTTAAGCCTTTAACTTGGAGTTTAATTAAAGGATTTTTCAATGTCCTTTTGCTTTAGTTATTCGAGTACAATTATTTTCAATCAACAACTGATTAAATTTTTTTTGAGCCGATTTCTAAAATTGTGTAAGTGGCAAACACCTTTTTTGTTTCAGCTTTTCAAGTCCTATCTTTCTCGATTGAAATCTTCAAAACATTGAATATTTCAAAGGGCCTTTTATATTTCAAAAATAGCCACAACATCGAATGAAGGTTTTGTCCTTTAAGTATGCTTTTTTTTCAGATTGATGGAAACTGATGTCCTGATTCTTAAATGGTATTTTTCTCTGAAAACGTTTCAAAAATAATCAAGATATTGAATACAAACCTATTAAGAATTAAAGGATTTTATACTTTTTTCGGTTGCTGGCCAAATTGGACCTTTCAATTAGCAGAAGTGGACCAAAACTTTCATTTAATATAAAAATCGTTAACAGTTATTTAAATCCCAAATGGATTTCACATACATTTTATTATCAAACAAAAAAAGAGTAAAGTTTTGTATAAATGTGGAAAAATAAGTCTCAAGTTCAAAGAACAATTCACTCGACTTTCAGAGACCAATTCTGGCCGGTGTTCTCCGTGGCGTGGCATTGCCCGGCGTGGCTATCTCCTGTTTGGCGGCCAGCTGCTCCTCCCTTTGGGCTGCTTGCTGCTTTCGTTCCTCCATCTCGTGTTGCGCCTGCAGCATCTGCTCTTCCATTTCCTTTAGGTGTTCCGCCGCCTGTTTCTTCTTTTCCCTACCGCTGCGTCCCGACTCTTTAACGGAGAAGAACATGGGACCCAGCTCGGCCAACCAATAGCCATCTACAGCTGTGGCACACTGCATGTACTCCTTGGCGGTCATGATCAGCTCATGGTAGACCACATAGTCGGGTGTGGTGCCCAATCCGTAGAGGGCGGAGGTGGGATGCAGGTGACAGGGCATTCCTGATCGCAAATTCACGTACTCTCCGATGCCCTTTAGTCTGGCAGCCTGGTAGAAGTAGGCGGAGCAGATGCACTTCCTCACCACATCCCAGTCGGTGCCACAGCTCTTCACGTTCATCTTCTGCTGGGTCATGATGTCCTTCAGCTGCTGTCGCACCTCTCGAACCTTTCGCATCGCCTTAATGTGGATGAAGTGCTCGTTGCACCAGGTGGAACTGTAGCTGTTGGTGGAGACGAGGTTCATAAATAAATGTTGGTGGGGATTTGGGTTGGTAAGTACTAACTTGTTCTGGCGCCACTGCTGGTAGACATTGAGGTAGGTCAGGTGATCGGATTCTGGCACCTGGAACTTTTCGCGCACTCCATCCGCCTCGTCTTCGCGTCCTTTGGGCCGGTAGAAAATGGAAGGCACCGAGAGCATAGAAACTGTGGAGAAAAAGAATAGTTAATTAATGGTTTAAATACCAATTTAAAAAGAAACGATTTAAAATGTTTAAAAGAAATCTTTATCGAATTCATTCAAATTTACGTTAAACATGTGTTATCGATTAATACATCGATGTGTTCTAGAGATGGCCTTCATTTTGTAACTATCAAGATTTGGGGTTGCCAGACTTTCAAAAAAATTTAAAATTCTTAAAGAGCTGGTTCTAGAAAAGCTTCTAAAATATGATAGTAATGGTCTTAAATTGGACACAAAAAGGAACAAAAAATACTTATTTTATTTCTCAATTAACTTGCAAACTTTTCTAGGAGCTGGAATATCTGTGGGTTCTTTTTTGTGGCTATATAGCTTACCTATAATTAACACTTCTGCACTGCACTCCATCTTGCAGGCCACGATGAGCATCTGACACTGAGGTGGATCCAGCGGGAACTCTGCCATTTGACGGCCCAAGGTGGTCAGGGCACCCGTGTGATCCAGGGCGCCCAGGATCCACAGCTGGTACAGCGAGTTCAGGATATTGTCCTGCGGCGGGGGATCCATGAAGTGAAACTGCAGCAGATCCGCCACGCCCAAGGACTTCAGCAGCAGCACCGTGTTGGCCAGATTTGTACGCTGAATCTCAGGGACTGTGAGCGCCAGTAGCTCGTCCTTGTACTGGCGCTGAGTGTAGAGGCGATAGGCCTGGCCGGGACCTGTTCTTCCAGCTCGACCGCTGCGCTGGTTGGCGTTCGCCTGGGATATGGGATAGATCTGCAGGGCGTCCATGCCGATCCTCGGATTGTAGACTTTCAGCTTGCAGTAGCCGGAGTCGATTACATAGATGATTCCATCGACGGTCAGCGATGTCTCCGCAATATTGGTGGCCACCACGCACTTGCGCGCTCCATCGCCCGACTTCTGGAAGATCTTGGCCTGCAGATCCGACGGCAGCTGGGAGTAAATCGGGAGGATACTCAGCTCTGGTGCTTTCTCAATCTCCGCCAGCCTCTCCTCCAGCACTTCGCACGTCACCTCGATATCCTCCTGACCCGGCATGAAGATGAGCATATCGCCCTCGTTGGGCGTCAGATGGACCTGTAGGGCCTGCTTCACCGCCGACTCCACGTAGTCTTCGCAGGTGTTCTTGCTGAACATCACGTCAACGGGAAAGGTCCTGCCCGGTATGGTGAAGGTGGGCACGTTCCCAAAGAAGGTGGCGAACTTGGTGGAGTCCATGGTGGCGGAGGTCACGATGAGCTTCAGGTCATGACGTCGAGCTACAATCTGGAAAGGATATGGAGGAAAATTGTTTTATTTTTCGATGAAATGGTATAGGATAAACCGCATTATATAATTCTGTACTCTTAAGCTTAAAATTAAGTATAGAGTAGAATTATGAATTTAATGCTCTTTGGGGAAAATGTGGAATAACCTAAGGGAGGCCACACATGGCTGTTAATAGGGTGACGCAGTGGGGGTCAAGTGGCGGTTATGTGACCCACATCCCGTCCAGCTTTTTTCAGCAGTCGTTGACCGCTGTGTGCAGTGGGTCAAGGCATTTGCTAGCCTGGGCATCGTGTCCTATTTAAAATTAGAAACAAGCCGACAAAACGATACCCTGCGATGCCAGAAAATGTAATCCTTTTAAAATAAAATCAAGGTTTAGTTATGAACTAAGCCAGTAACTTAAAAAAATGCATATTTGATATAATTTTAAACAAGTCCTGGAGATGAAGTACGTGATGCTACCCACTTTGGATACATTATATTCACCACACCAGTGAGTGTTCTCTCGGCAGGACATGCTCTCAAAAAGCCGAAGTCCAAATAATTGTGGCGAGAGCAAGAGAGTATTAAGTTCGAGTGGTGAATAAGTCGAATAAGTTCAAGGGGGTTGGGTTTGTGAGGTGAATAATATTAGGGGTTGGGGGATGACGTGCTGGCAAACACGTAGGCAGTTCCAAAGGCTTCTCGAAATTCCCAAAGTCCAAGTGGCTTTTGAATTTTGGTCTCAAGAGGTTAAAAAAAAAAAAAATAAATATTATTTGATCGATTTTTTAGGGATTAGAAAATGTTGAGGTAAAGAAATAAAATAATTATTACCAAGAAAACCAATTAAAAAAAACAAGCACCCACTTGCCACGCATTTTTAATCCAAAAAGTACCGGGTATACATACTACGTGAGTATTTGATTGTTCAATAAATCAATCTAGATTTTAATGCTTCAATAAATACTATAATTAATCATTTGAAAACCAAGTCCTAGCACAACTAATTCGCGGGTAGCCCTCTATCATATTTTAGATTCAAATGAGTGGCGAGCCAACTGCGCATTTAAAAAACGCTACCCAATCGAAAACCGAATTATAAAAAAAAAACCCACTCACTATGCTGGCCAATAAATTAACACACTTTATTTTGCAGTTTATCTTGGGTGCACATGAAATACGCAAATGCAATATTTATGATGCCTTCGAATGGATAGACAAGTGTAACGGTGAAGCTAAAGATAAAGCAATCAGCAATATCACCTGCAGATGACGTCAGGTGCCGGCAATTACGATAGGGCTCATATAAAAATATGAAACCTATTGAGAAAAAAGCAGAGAAAAGCCACAGATAAGGGACATGCCTTTGAGTGGATATATGGCGGGGATATAAATCATTGGCTTATAATCAATTTGGCAATACAAATACAGGGAATCCTTGATAAATGCAAATGCACTACATCAATCTTTAAAAAGATTGTAAGAAATGTTCCTAAAAGTATGCAATGATTTTAAAAAGGCCCCCTAGAATATGTACACACGAGTTCGAAACTACCAAGATTTATGAATTATTTTTTATGTAAATACTTTAAAAGTCTAGGAATAATGCAGATAATAAATTATCTTTACAACACCATATAAAAACTGCAATTTTTGTATTCCATCACAAAAGTCACAATATATTAGGTGTATGATTTCTTAACACTATCTCAAGGTCGCCAGATAAACCAGTTTAATCAGTTTTCACCATAAAACGCGGTTGAATTTTGTTCACCCAGTTAAACTAAGAATGAACATTTCTATATATGTAGGCATACAGAATGCTTTCCAGATTTGGAACAACTGATAATGAAAGTATACGAGTGAGTATACGTATAGCCCAGATTCTTATTCACCGAGGGAATTTCTATTTGGTTTCGGTTTACGGAAAGATGAGGGATTACTTATCGTTTGCCAGGGGTTTTGAGATATTTTATTTCATCACATTTGAAATGACTAAGTAGGATTGCGTCTATAGAATATTCATCCTATCAAAGGAAGACTAATTGAAGTCGTAAAATAATATCAGCTAAAGCGCCACCTACGTCTGTACATAGCTTTCGACGATAAGCACTCGACACTTAAAATAGAGCTCTTATTTTATGGAAATAATCGAATGCACATTGCAGATTGCAATCGTTTCGATCGGTAAACAAAATTCGTACAAAAAATTCGCCATATCTATACGACCGATGATCTTATTATAGAAACAGGAAGCTTCCAAGAAAAATATGAAATATAATACGAGACGATAATGCCCTTAAATGCTCTCAATTTCCTCTTAATCATAAAGGAACAACAACAAAAAGTGAAAAGAAATAAATAAACATTATTGGGGTATTGAAAATATATGCATATAGGTATATATTTATTTGTGATATTGAGGAGGAAATTGCATGCACATTTGCCAATCAAAAATGCCATGAATTTCAATTTTAATCCATTTTCTTTATATTTTATTCTGGTTGCCGCGGGCATAAAGCCAAAAATTCAAAAATGTGACAACAATTCATTTGCATCTGCAAATACATCAGGTTGGTAAACATAAACATAGAACCTCGATGCGATCAGGGAGGTCTTGTTTTCCACATATTTATAGTTAGTAATCAACACTGCATGTTCAAAATGTAAATATAATGGCGTATACAAAGTAACAAAGTCGTTAATAAACGATATAAAATAGGGGAAACAATCCTTCATTTTTCATATCACTATTTTTTCAATGTTAATCGATTTTTATCGATTATTTTTATTCTGCTGTAAACATAAATAATATATCAATCATCTTGACTTTTAGGTTTTTTAATCCTAAATAACCAAATCTATTCTCTTTCATTTGTATAATTCTTGCTTTATATAAATATCCCAATCCCATTAAAATCGATAAAATTCGATACAATTCTTAGTCTAGTAAATACATCATATGGCCTCCACAAAAGTCAGACGTTTGTCGTCAAAGTCAAAATCAAAAACAAAATCCGAAACCTTGTCTAGAAACTGACTGGCAAATGAGTTTTCCTGGCGCCAACAACCAAACCGAACCGAACCAACAGAATCGTGTGTATATATCTCTATGCCGTGGCATTATACCGACATAAATTACAAGTGTGCGAATGTTTGTATGCTGGCGAAATTAAAAATTCCGCAAATGCAATTTACAGAGCGTTTGCATTGAGGAGAAAATGTGTGTGTTTTTTTTTCCGAGGTTGCTGGATGCGAGTTTGAAAGATGAGGGGCCAACCATTGAGAGGTATGATGGGTGGGATGATGGCCCGTGAGTTATGCGAGTCTAATGAACCTTTATTTCAATGATCTCCTTTGAATGTACATATATAAAGTATATACATATTTATATGTTGGCTGGACAAAAAGCGAGAGTTCATAAATTTATTGAACTCGTTGAAAGGGTTCAAAAGTTTTTTATCAGTTGAAATATCAGTTGAGGAAAGTGTACAATTTTTGTTTCTTTGGAAGCGGTACGTTTTGAAAACCGCTTAGGTTTATTAGAATATAATATTCAATTAAAAGTTAAATGTAATAAACAGTTTTAAGTATTTCAAAAACTACTTCATACATAAACGGGGTAACGAAAAATGTAGAAATAGTAAGCTTGTTTATATAGAAGACAAACAAAAAATGGATTCAAATGGGTCGTGCATAATTATTGTATTACATTGTTTATATTTTATAAAGTTTAATGGTATGTAATCAGGGCCGTAGCTAGAGCCTCGGGGGCCCTGGGGCAACAAGTAAATTTGGGGTCCCCTATACGGAAGTCTTTTCCCCGGCGGGGCCCCTTCCCTTCGGGGGCCCTGGGGCAACGCCCCACCTGCCCCATGCTAGCTACGGCCCTGTATGTAATACTACAAATAATTTTTTATACGCTATCTGTAAGATTAACTATGAGTCTTGAAAAGTCTTAGATCGAAATAAAAGAAACTTGTAGTTTATCGTAAAATGTGTTTCGTATTATAATTTAAATTTTGTTAGACCTAGAACTGATCTAGAATACCTATAATGCGTATAAAATGCTATGTTTAAGATTTACTAGACTAAAAAAATATTTTTTATCGTAAATTTTATCGTGTTATAATTCTATCTTCTATCGTATTTCCATCCTTTATATAGTTTAATGATCTATAATAGTTATTTGAGGTGTATAACGTAATATTTAAGGTTAACTGGACATATACGAAGAACCCAAACAAATTCAATATTAAAATAAGCGAAAAACTTTTATAAAAACGTAAATCTTGTTACATTTCAAGGTTTTTTTTTATAATTTTTATCTAGAATATAAAAGTAAATGTAAATAAAAGCTCCATAATAGAATAGAACCCGAAGAAATATAATGCCTAAGTAAAAGAAACCCCATACAAGAAAAGCCAGAATCAAAGGAATATAAAAATATATGAAAAGGACATGTGAAGGGGTTGGGGATATAAAAATTAAGGAACAGCAGGGATGGGGGGTTGCTCTGGCGACTGATTGCAAATTTTCAACAGACCGAGAGCACCAAGTTTTGCACTGTGGTGGGTTTCGTTGTTGTATGGTGCGGCTGCCGCGTTGTTGTTGTTCTGCTTTTGGAGGTGTGGCGGCATCAACAAATCGCAAAAAAATAAAGAAAAACAAAAAAAAAAAAAAAAGAAAAGCACAGAAAAATAAAACCGCAAAAAATCGCACATGTGTGTGCGACGTCGAGACAAAAACAATTTATAGCTTTTTGGTAAAACTACGAGCACAACAAATAAACCGAACGAAGCGCAAGATGTAAACAAAAACCAGAAAAAATTTGCACAAAAACAAAAGCGCATAAAAAAAATGAAAAACACAAAAAACGATAAAAAAAAAATAAAAAGGCAAGACGTTTCAATGAATAATTGAGCAAAATATCACACAGTCACGAATTGCTTTATAAGCGAAATTAACTAAAAAATTATAATTTTTAATTATATAAAGTTTTTAATTAAATATAA